TCAGCAAGAACTTAATGCTATATAGATTTATGTAATAAGAACATAACCCATAAATATGAAATTACAGAAATACATATGCATTTTAATTTCATTTAAAACTTATGATGAAACATGGATTTCATTATTTATAAATGATATAACCTGGCCCTCACCACAAATAGGACTATGAAGTATGAATACAGTTGTAGGAATACATATTATCATTTACTAAAAGGTAACACAAGCCTATGTGTATTGATGAAGCAGCTATACTACTGAAACATGCCCAAACTGAATTGTGATGATTTTAAATGCATCAAGAGAGATTAATGATTAAATGGTTTCAATTGTTACATAAATTAGCAAACTGCTAGGTCATAAGTGCTGTGGGAAAAAAGCAGTGTAAGAGGATCAAGTGTGGTACATATCTAGCTGTGTGTGTGAATATAAGGCAGGTTCCAGTTTTACTAGAGTAATTAGGGTAGGCTGGGGGCACGGAGGGGAAGATCTACACAGCCAAAGGAGAGACAATGTAAAAACACTGAGGCCCCATTTGATTCTAACAAAACAATCTCACCACAGATATAATACCCCATTGAGCAGGTGTGTACAGTGTCTCAAAGCAACTTAAGCAAGGGAATAGAGCTAGTAAATAATAAGCCAGGGCTAGAACCCAGGTTTCTTGACTCTTCATCCAGTGCCTTTCTTTTGTTTTGTCCCTCTGTTCACCAGGCACAGAGGAAGGTGCCCTGTCTCTTAGAAAGCACTGTGTAAACATCATGGATGAATCTGGAAACCATCATTCTCAGCAAACTGACCCAAGAAGAGAAAAACCAAACACCACATGTTCTCACTCATAGGAGGGTGTTGAACAATGAGAACACATGGGCATAGGGAGGGGAACATCACACACTGGGGCAGGTTGGGGGTGGAAGGGCTGGGGAGGGACAGTGGGGGGGTAGGGAGGCTGGGGAGGAAAAACAGTGGGAGAAATGCCTGATGTAGCCAAAGGGGGACAGAGACTGCTAACCACCATGGTATGTGTGTACCTATGCAACAACCCTGCGGGATGTGCACATGTGCCCCAGAGCTTAAAGTACAATTTAAAAAAAAATCAAGTTTCATTGCTTTGGGGTGGTGATTGTGATTATTATTAATCAGTTCCATGATATTTCTATTTTTAAATTTATGCCTCATAGTTGTACATTTTCCCAGGATACATGTGCCGTTTTGGTACATGTATACAATGTAATGATCGAGTTAGGGTAACTGGAACATCTATCACTTCAAACATTTATCTTTTCTTATGTTAGGAATATTACAATTCTCATCTAGCTATCTTGAAATATACAATACATTGTTAACTATAATTACTGTACTATAGACTACTAGAATCGATTCCTTCTGATATTTCCTGAAAGGCATATAAAACTCAAAGAATGGTTTCATCTTCCCTTCCCACAGCTTGTTTTTCCTCCTTCATTTGTGCCTCTTCTCTTGAATAAATTATTTTAATGTCAAACTGTCAGTTAAACTAATTATACTTTTCTGGATATTTGATAAAGGAAAGGTAAGGATAGGAATAACCTATGAAATGGAAACAATTTCTAACGTTATAAAGGGCTGAGGAAAGAATGGAGAGAATGTGGAGCCCAGAGACTCAGAGAGAGCCTGTGTGTACCTAAGCAACAATCCTGCAAGATCTGCACATGTACTCCAGAACATAAAGTATAATAAGAAAAAAAATAAAGGAAATTTGTAGATAAGGCAAAAATGTTGGAAACAGGGCTCAAGGGGTGAGGGAAAGAGATTTTAAAATATGTTCAAATATATAGTAGGAAGAATGAAGTCAGACTGAAGAAAAAAATATTTTCAAATAAAAATATGAGAATATTAGACAACAAACAACATACAAGAAAAAAGAGAATACGAATCCGATTTCAGACAGTAGACTGAAGAGCTGGTGGAATTACTAACAGCAAAAGGGAACAGAGTAGAGAGTCTGAAAGATGAGTAGCTTTCTTTTTGTAATGCTGGGTTTAAGGTGGCGGCGAGGTTCTCACTAGTGGAAAGGGTCTAAGAGCTTTAAGAGGCAAACTTGGAAGCTCTGTGCAATCTAGAGCTGTTTGTCCAATACAGTTGCCTCTAACCACAGGCAACCACTGAGCAACTGAAATATGGGTACCCTGAACTGAGATGGGCTCTAAGCATCAAATACACATTAGATTTTGAAGATTTTCTATAGGAAAAAAAGAATTTAAAATCTCATTTTTTCTGCATTGATTAGATGATGAAATATATGCATGGACTGGGTTAAATAACATTATTAAAACTAATTTCACTTGTCTGTACTTTTTTAACGTGATTTGTAGAAAACTGAAAATTACATATGTGGCTTATGTTATATTTCTATTGGACAGCAATATTAGTTATATATTAAGATCACAAAAGGGATAGAGACATCATTCTGAGGTATCTCAACTAAACATAGATATGGAAGAAAAAAAGGAAACACATCATCATAATAGTTAATATTTACTAAGCACCCCAAGCACTATGCTAGACACATAAAGGGCACCGTCTTATTTGTTCCTCCCAAAAACCTTATTAAACATCTTTTATAGAATAAAATACTGAGGCCCAAGGTCACACAGTTAAATGTCGGTGTTAGGATTCAAGGCCACGATGACCCCAGATCTCAAGTTCTAAACGGTGACAGAAATTTCAGAACAAGTATGCGCTCTAATATTTTAAACTATTTATTAGAATGGTTCATTGTCAAAGTCAGTTATGTCCCAATTCAATAAGAAGAAAAGCTACAAACGTGTGGATTGTAACTTTAGAATTATGATGAGCTACTGATGCTGGCATATTTTCACCAGATCCGGCCATTAAAGACGTTTCTGGTGCAGCTTCTTTCCTTTTATCAATGTTTATTCCCAGAAATGCAAACCCATCAAGTTAGATGGTACATATCCAACTGTCCAACGGAGACGATCATCCACCTAATCCTAACAGCAGGGCCTGTTTTCTGAAGATAACTAGACAGATAATACAGATCTACTTGACAATTTTCAACATTCTCTTTTGGAGCACAAAAGCTGGACCTGTCAAAGTGACTAAAACGTTTTGAAGGAAGCTAAACTAAATGGAACCTTTGTTGAAGAACCAAAAATTAAGCTTACCCAACTGATGCTTTAAAATGGATTTTGTACTCCTTGAAAATGCTTACTTTCAAAGAACAGAAAGAAAAAAGGCTGGATACTTTGAATCCTAGAAATCTTAACAGTAAATCTCCTACAAATACAAATTGAAGTCAATAAAGTATCTTTCATTGACCTTTGGTTGGTTCATTGGTATTAATTTCAAAGACAAACTTTCTTTCCTTTTCACATTTAATTTCTGCTACCTATCTGGGAAAATGGTAACCACAGAACTGCTGAACTTGTATAGTCAGCTCTAATTACATCTTTTTCAAAAACTTACTCATGTAAATTTTATTAAACAATTTATTTACGATTAATACATTTTTCTAGTCTAAGTCTTTTAAAACCACTGCCATAAATCCACATTATAGAAATAGAAAAACAAAAGGAAATTTGAAAAAAAATAATTATTTTGAAATAAGACTAGCAGAGATATCTTACAAGACAGTTCATACTGGACATGTATTCAAAGGGTGTCTCTCTGAACTGACCCACTAATTTATTTAATTAAACCCCCTAACCTTCCTCCTCCCTGGCCCCATTTTTTTTTTTTTTTTAATAAAGTAGTATGATTTCAGCTGGGCATAGAGGCTCATGACTTGTAATCCCACCTTGGGAAGCCAAGTATCCTGTATCCTAATGGCTGTGTTGGGGTCACGGATGTTGAGGGCTAAAAAACCATTGCTGAAGTGAGCGAGCATGCGGTTGGGACAGCTTGGAGGCTGTGGCTTGTGAATAACACAGAGTTGTACGGGCACCCCCCATAGGTGATGTTCCACCAATGACAGTTTGTGCTGCCGGGTGGGGGTCCTCTGGTCCCAGAACCACAGGGAGAGTGCGGTCGGTATGCTCCCTAAGTACTTGGTGCAGGAGAGAGAAAACGAAAGGTAGGAGGCCAGTGGTGGCGGTCACGCAGGGAGATTATGGGAAACCAGGAAAGGCCAGCCGTACAGCAATTCAAGGGCTCAGACCCATTGGCCCCCATGGGGTGGCCCGGATATGGGCCAGGCAAGAGGTAGGAGTGTGAGCCAAGAGAGTTTTACCTCATAGCAAGTTTGGCCAAATGGTCTTTGAGGATGCCATTGGTCTGTTCAACTTTACCCGATGACTGAGGATGGTAAGGGATGTGGTATCTAGATGTTGAGGGACTCAGCAATGAGCTGGACAACTTGTGCAGTAAATGCTGGACCATTGTTCAACTGGATGGTGGCAGGTAGGGATGATTTCTTGTGTAAGAAATATCCCTAGCAAATAATTGCCACTGTGAAGGCTAATACCATAGTCTTTGGTTACTTAAAATCTAAAGTCTTGTTTCTTTAGGCTTAAAAGTAATTTGTACTTGTAGTTTTTGAGGAGCAGATTCCTCCGCAAAAGGAACAGGGCAGCTGGGAAGATATAAGAACCTGTGCCACACCTCTTGCCTTCCAGTGACATATTTTGATTGGCAAAAGGGTTTGTTTTGTTCGTTTTTACCTGATACTCCTATGGCCGCAATAGTAGTAGTGTGAGACAGTGAGCCTCCAGTGCTCACGGGGTAAACTGCATGATCTTTATAGACTGTTCTCCAGTCTGGACCAGGTTTAGACCCTGGTTTAGCTATATCTTTTTCTTGCTCTCTTCCACGTCCTCCTCCATCCTTTCATTATCCCCGCTTTTCTTTCAACTAAGGCAGGTGCTAGTAAATCTGCCTTTTCCTTTGCCTCACACCTTGCCCTCTCTTAGCCCCGGTCCTGTGCAGGGAGGGCACAAAGCAGCAGAGTGTCTGCAACCCACGTGCCACCTTTCCAATGCTACTACAAAATTTGCAAGAAGCAAGAAATGGTCATTTATCAGAATGATACATTTATTTTTATATTTTTTTTATAAAGTGCTGCAGGCTCCAACGTTGCTCCTGGGCATCTCAGGTTTCGGGCCTTCGTCCTCTCCAATCTAAATGCAGAGACATTTGACATGAACATGTTTTGCAAAATGCAATACATTCTTATTGACTCTGGTCACCCTGCTGTGCACTAGAGTCAAAACCTCTTCCTCCTGTCTAGACTTTGGTCCTTTGACCAATACCCCCCCATTCCCTCCCTCTGCCACTCTCCGGCCCCGAGATTTGCCAATTAAAACAATACTAATAAAGACAGAATAAATATAGTAAAATGCAAGAAGTGCGGCTTCACCGCCCACCTACTTACTTTTTCTCTTGGGTGGGCCCTCTTACTCTGCCTCTTGGGTGGACAGAGGCAGCAACAGCATCTCCTTATTATGGCAATGCACCTCGGGCAGCCCTGCGGCAGCTCCAGCCTCTTCTTGGCCGGGCCAACACAGCCTCGGGCTGCCCAGCTTGGAGGACGCTGCCTTCGTGTGCTGGTTGTTGAGCCACGGTGCTCTGGGTGGTGATCTGGGTGGAGGCGGCCGTGAGGTTATGCGGGAGGGCTGGTTGAGCCAAAGTTTCTAAATTTTCACTGCCGGTGGAGCACTTGCTGGAGGCTGCAGACACGAGGTCACGCTGGGGGGCTTGCTCTGCCAAGGTTTCTAAAGCACCACCACCGCCTATGGCGCTTACAGTGGAGGAGGCCACACGGTCACACTGGAGGGCTTGCCGTGCCAAGTTTTCTACATCTCCACAATTGCGCTCGATGGTCAGGGAGGCCGTGGGGGCATGCTGGGGGTCTGACTTCCTGTGAAGGCCGGCAGGTGAACTGGAAATCTCAGTGACTAAACATGTAGGATCCCCAGGAGCAAGAGACTGTGGAGTGGTAATGGATGGCTTTTTTTCTCCATCTACAATACGGTAGGTGGCCATGGGATAATTAAAGACGTGGCCTTCAATTGCCTTTACGATGTTTTCTGGCTTCAATCCCATGGCCACCAAGAGCCTTATGGTCTCACAGTTCGGGTGGTCTTCAATCGGCTCTTCATACGTCGCTGGAGGCAAGTCCTGGCCGTTGTTCACCCACGGGTCCCTCAAGACTTTGTCTGCTGTCGGCCGCTCATTGGGATTAGATATTAAAAGGTTTTTAATTAGCTTTTAGGCCTTCTGAGAAATAGTGCCGAATAACATACTGGCCATAGAATGAGGGATATCAGTTGGAAACGACTCACTGCGAAGAAGGGCAGACTGTTGGACACCATCTGGTATAACGTGACGCCTAGGCTCCATATGTCCATGGCGGGACATTCATAGCCCTGGGCCCCAAAGAGTTCTGGGGCCATGTAGGGGAGGGTCCCATGACCTGCTCTCAGCCTCTGCCCCTCATAAAAAGTTATGGCTGATCCAAAATCTGCAATTTTTATGTTCCCGTTGCCATCTAACAACATTTGTCAGGTTTAAGATCTCGGTGAGCGATGCTTCGGCGGTGGAGGTAGCTCACGGCGGACAGCATTTGTTGGAACTTGCCTCGGCCTCCTCCTCCTCCACTAGTGGTGGTCAAGCCAGTTGGCCAGGCTTCCTCCTGCGGCATACTCCATAACGAAATGGCACGCCTCTCTGCTGTTAATCATTTGGTAAAGGTTAATGATGTTGCCGTGGCGGACCGACTGTAAAACAGTCATCTCTCTGTGGCTAGAGAGGAAGCTGGTTCTGTTGATTGTTTTCACCCGCCACCCGGATGCCAGTCATTAAGTGGCGGGCCAGCGTGACCTCCCCAAAGGCACCACGGCCTATAAAGTTTAGTATTTGATAATAAGGTGGCCGCAGGGCAGGTGAGGTGGAGGCCAAGCCCTGCCTCATGGTGCCTACTTTGTCTACACTACTACTATATACAAATAACTACTCTAACTCTATGGACTACGCTAAAATATTACAATACTAACTATCCCAAGAACACTAAAATGCTAAGAAACAGTACCAACTATATTAACTATACTAACTAAAAACACAACAACGCCCCTCCCACAAAACTCCCCCCACCCCGCCAAACAACTCGTAATCGCTAAGCTGGTCTGAGTCCACAGGTCACCAAAAAAGCTTCCAGGGATTTCTCAGACCAAAACCATGACCCAGCCAGGGCCTTATATAGGCCTGTCTGTTATGACATCACAAAGGCTTTTCATGAGCTCAGAGCAAAGCAGGGCCAATCATGGCTGGGGATCTTTCACAGAGGTTTTCTCTCTTTTGGTCCCCAAAACATCTTCCTCTTTTAAAAAGTAAGTGCTTTTGTCTAGATGGATTATAGAGATTGATATTTTGTTTCCCAGCTATTTAAACTGGTACAACGCTTCAACAGCATTTTCATTTGTAGTTTCTTTTTCTATATTTATTGTACTCTTAAGTTCTGGGGTACACGTGTAGATTGTGCAGGTTTGTTACATAGGTTTAACGTGCCATGGTGGTTTTCAATCATTTGTTATTTCAAAATCTGAAATAGCTTTTGGATTTTGAAGATCTCCTAATGTCTACATGCAACATATTTAATTCCTTTTCTTTCATCTCTCAATGGTTCAACCATTGAGAAGGAGAGAATATTTTCCTTTCCTTGTAGGGTTTTTCCTTCCTCATGTGGTTGAGATTATGTAATGGACAGAGAATAAACAGACATACCCTACCCTCCATGAGCCCATAGCCTCTTCAGGAAGGCCCCCCCAGACATGAAGCTCCTTCAGCGTGAGAAGCACCAGGTGAAGTGGGGGCCAAAGAGTGGCCTGGGCCTCAGGTCAGCACTGGTGAGGGAAGAAGTGGGGCTTTCTGGAGGCCAGTGTGCTGAGCCCTGCGGTGTGAGGAGGGGTCGCCTAAGTGAGTAGAGACAAGGGCAGGAGGGTAGCCTCTGCAAAGGCCCAGGATGACTGAGGGTTGCTCTCTGGAGGGATGTGCTAGTCTGAACGAGTGACAGGGGCCAGGTTGGGAGCACTCAAGTCCCAGGACAGAGGCTGAGCCTGTATTCCAGCACGGGGTTGTGGAATAGTTCTGAGCCCCTCGCAGGGCCACAGCCCTCACAGCCTGACTCTGCCCCAGGTGGAGGTGCTGCTATAAATAGTAGGGGCCCCGTAGGTGCACTGGAGGGTGGAAGGGAAGGGCTCCCCAGGAATAACCCTGCATGGATGACAGCCACCCCACAGAGGGCATGGCCACCAGGAAATGTAGGTCCTTCTACATTTAGGTGGAGGCAGCAGGCATAGGCTGGAAGGAGAAAGTGGGGCTGGATTCCCAGGGTTCCTAAATGCCAGGAGAGGTGCTTTTATTGCCTCCTGGGAGCAAGATTTGGAAGAGACTGAGGCCCATGAGGGCAGCACTCAGGAGGTTGGTCTGGAGGGAGATGGCCCCTGAAGGGGCACACCTTGCCTGTCCCTGTTGGCTCAGCCCTCACTGGCACTAGGAATCCCTTGGTCAGCAATGGGGGGGTGTCATAGCCTTCTGCCTGGAGCCTGAACACCCTGACATGTTCTCCCCAGGATTCTGCACTTATTTTCCTTTTTTTTTTTTCCCCCAAGACAGAGTCTCACTCTGTCACCCAGGCCAGAGTACAATGGCATGATCTCAGCTCACTGCAACCTCCGCTGCCTTGGTTCAAGTGATTCTCCTGCCTCAGCTTCCTGAGAATCTGGGATTACAGGCATGCACCACCACACCCAGCTAATTTTTTGTATTTTTAGTGGAGATGTGTTTTGCCATGTTGGCCAGGCTGGTCATGAACCCCTGGGCTCAAGTGATCCTCCCACCTTGGCTTCCCAAAGTGCTGGGATTCCAGGTGAGAGCCACCACACTTGGCCTGCTCCTGCTCTTCCATATGTGCATTGGAGTTGCCTCTCCCTGAGGGCAGCTGCTGCACCCTGAACGCCTGGCACAACTGTGGACCCGAGGAGGTGCTCAAACACGCGACTCCCTGGGGACCGGATCTGGGTGGCTCCCTTGTGTGACACGAGGCAGGAAGCAGAGCTCTGTGGTCATGTGCCGCCCTAGGGCATGAAGGCTGTCCTTGTTCTCTTGCGAGCCAGGCTTGGCCACTCTTCCAGGGACCCACCCACACTGCCTAGCCTGGCCGAGAGTGGCCTTCCTGTCCCTGCCTGGAGTGGTGTCTGCCACATGCTCTGAAGCTGGCCCTTTGCTGTGAGGTCTTGAAGGGCAGGTGTGTTGTGAGAGTCACCCACCACTGGGGCCTGGTAGGGTGGGGAGGCACCTAAGTGGACTGCTGCCAATGCATCCTGGGTCTGGAGTGCAGGAGTCGGTAACTGACTCCACCTTGGGGGCCTGATGGGAGGCCTCAAATAGGCCTTGGCCATTCCACGGGCTCAGGAGCACCAGGGCTTATCAGGCTTGTGGGAGGGAGCAAGGCCAGGCCCTGGGGCTTCTGGGCCTGTTCTTTTTGAAGGGCGGCCTGCAGGATGACCTGGTATTGGTCTGTGGGTGTCCTGTGGCCTCCTGCATCTCATGGCCTTGCCCTTGCCCTTCAGCATGACCCTCCAGTGCCTTCATCGGTCTCCACAGAGCTCATCCTGGTAGAGGATGTGAGGGTGAGCCTGGAAGAGGTGACCATCTAGGACCATCTTGGCTTCCAGATACAGCCCATGCCCTGCCAGCTGCCTGGGTAAGACCCACCAGGGGACCCCCTCACTCTCCAAGACACAGCCCAACTCTCCCTGAATCTGCCTCCTGCCAGTGGAGCTCCACTTCAGGAAAGACTCAGGTGACTTCGTCCTCAATACCAGTGCTGTGGATGACATCAAGATGGCCTACCAGGAAACCAGGGCCATCACCATGGTAAGTTTGGGTCATTGGTCCCCAGGGTGATTTTCATTCTTCCTCTGGGACATTGTGATGTTCATAGATTGGTGTTTTAAAAGCTGTCACTTAATGTCATCAGGATAACTAGCAAAGCTGTTAGAGTCTCTGATTTATTCTGCAACTTTAGTCATTTTCATGCTACCTTTGTAATTTTTTTTATTTTTGAGACAGGGTCTCACTCTGTTGCCTGGGCTGGAGTGCAGTGGCAGGATCATAGCTTACTGCAGCCTTGACCTCCTGGGTTTAAGTAATCCTCCCAACTCAGCCTCCAGAGTAGCTGTGACTACCACCACCTGGCTGCGCACACCACTACACCTGGCTAATTTTTGTATTTTTTTTGTAGAGATAGGGTCTCACAATGTTTCCCAGCTGGTCTCGAACTCCTGGGCTCAAGGGATCCACCCGCCCTGGCCTCGCAAAGTGCTGGCATTACCGGTGTGACCCTCCGCACCCAGGTTACCTTTATGATTTTCATTCCATGTCCACAAACTACCCACACTGTTACCTAATGGTTTCCTTTCTGTCAATCTTTCCATTAAAATAAAAATATTAAAGAGGTTGCACCTTTCTCTGTTTCCCCAGGTTGATTTCTTGACCCTCTCCCTATTCTTGCAAGTGTTGACTTATCTGTGCTCGTGGCATGGAAGAATTTAGTGTTCTGCTTTCCAATATCTTATTCTAGTCTCACTTTTTCTATTTCCCCATGTTGACAGGGAGGCTGGCTGATTATTTTTATGTCTTCATTTGTACTTTTGCCGTTCTTTTCTAATCAGAGTGTTTGGATGGTCAAAATGTTTTTGTTCTTTCAAAAATATAGGGAAGAATAGAATGAAAAGATTAAGAACAAACAAACACTCAGACCGTCTGCATATCTGCATGATGGGTTATGATGCATCACAAACACAGAACTTACTTTAGAAGGGAGCTCTTACTACGGAAAGTGTAACAGACCCTCTCTAAGTCATCAATCCAAGGCAGCCCAAAGCTCATTGGTTTGATACAACAGTGGCAGTGACACCCACCCCAGCATGTCATTAAACCATTGTTGTGCGGTAGCCTTTGAGATGCTGTAAGCCCAAGACCTGCTTTCCTCTGTTAAAAGGGTGTGTTCCCGGTGATTGAGGAGTGTTGCAGTCAGGCCAGCTTCGGAGACTTTCCCGGACCCAGCGAGGCCTGGGTGATCCGGTGCTTGGTGTGTGGTGGGGACTCAGATGGTGCAGCACTGTGGATGGGCTAGAGGTGCCCTGACTGTGGTCTCCTGCCATCCTGATACTCGGGTTTGCTCTTGGCTTTGCCTGGTTCATGGAGGTAGCCCTCGAAAGCTCACAGCAGCAGGAAATGACTTCCTGGCTCCAGGAAAGGCCAAAGTCAGAGTTCACCTTTGCAGTGACCATGTCCCACAGTCTCCATCCAGAAACACACCCAGGGCACCTTTCATTGGCTTTTTGCACCTACTGACTATCTTCACATAGACTGTCACTAAATAAACTTCCTCTAGGGCAGGATAGGTGTAAAGTCAGTGAGGGGAGGCGGGGGTGTGAGGAACACAGCTGGAAGTGCTGTGCTAAACGGACCTGGCCCCAAGGTGCAGTGTCAGGGAGTAACGGGAGGTGGAGACTGTGGCAAGCAAACACACTGGCCAAGTCTAAGGGCAGCCACCATGCACCTCTAGCTGATTTCTGTTGTTTTTAATCACATCTGTGTCAAGGTCATTCACATACCATGCAATTCACACACCTAAAGCATACAGTTCAGGATTTTTTAGTACATTTTAGAACATTCACAGAGTTGGGAACCGTCACCAAACACATCCTCTCCTCTGCTCCCCTCCCCTCTTCTTCCTCCCTTCCCCTCCCTTCCCTTCCCTTTTCTTTCTTCTCTTCCAGGGTGTCACTCTGTAACCCAGGCTGGAGTGCAGTGCTGCCATCTCAGCTCACTGCAACCTCTGCCTCCCAGGCTGAAGTCATCCTCCCACCTTGGCCTCTTGAGTAGCTGGGATTACAGATGGGTGCCACCACAGCCAGCTAATTTCTGTATTTTACCTAGCTATGGTGGCACATGACGGGTTTTTGCCATGTTGCCAGGATAGTCTAAACCTCCTGAGCTCAGCAATCCACCAGCCTCGACCTCCCAAGTTCTGGGATTACAGGTCTGAGCCACTACTGTGCCCGGCTGGATCAGCACTTTCTAGACCTTACTAAAATCTGTGTCTTGGATTTTGCTTTCCTCTACTGCTAGGTGAGGTCCAACAGCTACCCATGATTGACTCTGAAGTTGTTGATACATGGCAGTGCATTGAGAAATTCACACCTCACAGGATTTATGAGTGTGAGCATAAATTAAATAACTGGTTTCACTGGCCCTCCATATATCTTTCTTTCTAAAATTCTTAATAAAGTATGGTTATTCTGTATGCCAATGCATCCAGATTTTAAACATTTGATTATGTTGCTTTGGAAACTAGGATATGTTTTCTAAGACTCTTTCATTGAATTTTACCTCCTAACATTCAGCGTAATATGGTTAGCACCAGTATGTACCTGAGCCTTGCTCTCCCTCCCTGAGCCCCGCACGCTGCCCTG